CTGCCATGAACGGCATCATAACCTTATACTAAAATATATTGGAGTAACAAATTTTCACTTCCGGTCCAGTTATACTATACTATGAATATTTACTTTTGAGATATCATTTTTTGTATGTGAAATTTGTTCTTGGATATTTCAGTTTCGTTGTCCTGTACTTCGTTTAGTAATTCGGACTACCCAGATTGCGTAAAAACGGTTTTCACCCTCGCTTATTATGACACCCTCACAAACGAGTTTCCCTCAAGGGTAAACAATGGTTAATTGACATTTTCAAACAGTTTCGTGTGCTTCACGTGTTCATTTGCCTGGAACCTTACCGATATCGATATAGTCGCAACTGCCGTAGCCATCGCCTTTAATTCACACAAAAAACCTCGTGATGAAATAGTAACTAGCATAACAATGTTTTTCACATTGATCGTCATTTTTAATTATCCTTGCTATTTCCCACACAAGAGTGAATAAAACTGGAACACTAATACTTACAGTATGTCACTAAAGCAGTATAACAAAAATGCATGATGCAAAGCCCTATTCTATAAATGTTTAAATGATCCTTGGTCAAAATAAGAAACTAGGTGATAATATCAGAGCATGGGCCTTATTGAGGAACTCCTGCCTGAGCAACTGCACAAAACATAAGAACAAATTAACAGCTTCTAAGGATATGGCATTCCCAGTTGTTAATGACACATAAAACATTAAAGTCGTCGCGCCACGCATGCGCGAGATATGGGTCTCATAATAAACAAAGATAGTCACCTAGCTTTAATTAGGTATTTTTTTAGGTGATTTATAGAAGGTATCGAATGAGTCACCGGCGATAATTAGTGCAAGTCGCGCCCAGGTCAAAACTTATACTCGTGATTTCATTAGAAGATCGCATTGTATTGTGTGAAAATCAATGTTTATCAACACAAATGTCGCAGTTTTATAGAATTTGTGCAACTACTAATTATCTCCATTCCCTCGGACAGTTATTGAATGAACAGATCGACTGGGGGATAAAACCGTGATTATTGCCGAAGTGTGTCTTGCCATTTACCTAGTAAATATATAATAGGGAAACCATGTTCAGTGACTGTCAAGAACACTATACTAGCATAATCCAAACATACATGCTAACTTCCAAGCACAATGAAAATGTTCTTCTCTTAGTACTGTACCTAGTAGTAGTGTGTCTTTTATGTGATTTAGTTACTTCTTTTTGTTATACTTTTATTACAATTAGCTAAAATTGAGATGCAGTTTCACAATACGGCGTAATAAAGTTATTATTATTATTATTGTATGTGGATGACCTTTGTGTTATAATTTGTAAAGTTCACGTTCAGTTCACGATCTTTCTAGCTGTCTCGTTTTGACCTAAGCGTCATACGATATAATTTTCATGAACTACAACAAAATAGCCACGCCACAGTCTCGTCCCGAATCAGCCCAGACCCAAACGATATTGTATTGAATATTTGTATTCCCGAGTATTAACAATCTTGAACTTGACCATACTTTGTTTATTTTATTAAATTTAGAGTTTGACGCCCCGTGGCCATAGCGCATGCTCACTGAGTGTAATCAATATGGCGGACAAATGGGCGAAACTGTCGAATGTAATATCATTTACCGCAATTGTGCACGAAGAATCTGTTAAAAGTCAACATGAGCACCTGTTAACTGAAATAGAGTCAACCAATGATCCACTGGGACCTACAGTCAGGTGAGAACACTCACACATGCTTGCTTTTTCCAGACTAAAGTCCGTTAATTAAGTAGTAAATGTCAATGGCCCGATTTATGCTTGTAAATTTAGCTATATATAACGGAACTTTGATACTCCAGGTATCCCATACAACCTAGCGATCATTTCACTTCAAGTCGTCCAGCGAATGATTGAATTGTAATATATTATAAACAGTTCTATTTATACCACGCCTCGGCGGATGTTACGTCGTAGAGCAATGCGAGTCGGATCGTATTTTTTTCAAGATGGCGGATAACGCCGAGAATTCGGTCGAAAACAAAATACTGCGTGACCACGAACGATTGGTTTTTGAAATCGAGGAGTCTGACCCTGCTTGCATAGGACTTACTTTCAGGTATATTGTTATACGTGATGTAAAATGTGATTTTAACGTCTTGTAATTTGTAACATTTTGGCTGAACTGAGTGTAGCGTCGGCGGTGACAGTGACAGTTCGTTCGGTGATTGAAGATGGTCACATAGCTTTGGTGGGTGAGCTAATCTGGTAATTTAGAGGGGGGGGGGGTTATAAGTATATTCATGTTTAGTCCAACCATAAGTTCTTTTGCACAACTATCTTGATTCTGCGTGTTCAATAATTGATGATTCAGTTCAGTGCAGGAAATGTGTATAGTCCGGTTAAATTAAGTTATGTTCTTCTTGAAACTCGATACATTACAATAATTCCATGCTTAACTTACAGTTCGAAAAACAAAATTCATGGAAATGTGTAGAATACAAGACCATTTTACCTATTTTAATTTCAAATACTTGTGTAAAATAGGATAGAAAATAGGATTTGTTTTGCTGTTGTTGTTTGTA